TTGAGATTTGAATTTGTTGTTCGTCCGCATCCTTGAATTATTTCTTTTAGAATAATTTAACAAGACTGCTTCCTCAGTCTTCGTCACATGCTTCACATCTTCATACTGCTCACATATTTTCCGAATAGTTTGAAATTTCTGATCCGGACAGAGTAATAGCTTCTGCTGTAATTCGGGCAGTTGAATGCCAGCAATGAGTCTATCACGCAGCTGGTCTTCCAATTGGGCACCGTAGTCACATTTGGCTGCCTGTGTCTGCAGCTGTAACACGAAATCACGGACCGACTGAGAATAAGAGCGGGTCAACATATTGAACTTAGCTCTTTCGGCTGCTACGAAGTTAATCGGTTTGAAGTGTTGAAGAACTTTTTTCTTCAATGCAGTGTAAGAAATATCGATTGGAGATTCAGGATATACTAAATTCTTGATCAAAGTATACGCCTCCTTGCCAACGAAATGAATATGATATGCAGTGAGTTTCTTCTCATCCATATCGGATTTTGTGAGGCACCATATGTCGAATCGTTCCAAATAATCCTCTACGTGCAGTTGAATTAGAGCATCAGTCATGTTCATCACACTGACTCTTTATGATGAGAAGAAGGATGCTTATTTCTCGATACAATTTCACAGAATCAGAGTGTCGGTTTGTTATGTCACTATTAAAAACATTTTGGTGGCGAGAATTATGACCGGTGCGTGTTTTTTTTCGGAGGTGCATAGACAAGCGGCCCACACCAGAATGTTCACAGTTACTCAATCGAACAAGGAGGCCTCACCGTGGAAGTTGGTAGCCATACCAATACCAACCAACTGCGGTAGTTGAAGAACCGCAGTCGCTAGCATCTAGACAGCAAGGGTCCTGTAAGCTCAGTCGCTTTGCTTGAGTCTCGTGTTCAGGCCCGAGAAATACAATGAACTGGCAACAGCGCAAGAACGGCTTGTTGATCAGCTTGCGTAAGAACTCGAATAGTTAAGGCCGAAACAAGGGTGAAGAAATAAAGTGTGACTTTTGAAAGTGAAGTGGCAGATGTGAGCGTGGTACGCAGTCGACCACTCCCATGTGTCTGACTGGCAAGCCTGTCATGAGGATCTGAGGAAGAGAGGGATATGAGGGAATAGCGAAGAAAAATTCAGGTGTCAGCGGTCGCGCGTTTCCGCCTATTCGGAGTGAATTAGACGGGCCACATGAAGGCTGATGTGGCATGCAAGTGATTTGTTTGTGCAACCCATGGTTGTACGTGGGCTGAACTACTGCTAGGACGTCCCTCCTTAAACAGTAAGTCGATTAGGGTCTTTAACTAAATCCCTACAACAAGCCATCCGTGGTCCCCGCAAGATGACCGAAATGGTGTGACGTTTGAGAGACAGGCTGCTACCACACTTGTTCCAACTAACCTGGAGGGCTCACTGTCGGATTTCTGTGAATTGACCATTCTGTTGGAAAAGATCAGGGATGCCGCTCGGGTGTGTTCCAATATAGTTCAAAGGTTGCTGAGGCATGCGAACCGTCGCACTAGGATAAGATTCAGTCCTTCTGCGAGGTTTCCCGGAGTTTCAATTTATTTTTACGTTCTGGTCTGATTCCTCCGAGATTTTATCGGGTAAAGGGCGCTCAGGTTGTTGCACATCGCTCTGCACAAACCATGTCTCTTTAGGTTCCTTTGGTGTAGGCCTGTTGGGGCAGTTCGAGAACGGCTGCTATCTTTTCCGTCTTCCGTAGAGGGTTAAAGACTTGCGGAGTGTGGATGGCGGCTCTGTGTTGTTTTTGGGGTGTTTGGCCTATTCAACTTGTATTCATGTATTTTATTGTTTTCTATAACCTTCTCCCTGACTCTCGTGGTTTTTGTTGCTCTATAGGTCAACTCTCAAAACCTTATTGCTAAGACAATTCAGCTACCTTCCTATGTGCATTGCGCGACAGAGTTGCAACCTAAATTGAACCGACAGATCCTGTCAGAAGGAGTACCCTAAACACTGGGCGCTGTTTCTCCGCCACCCATGCTTTACATGGTATATTCGCCAGACCTTTCCTAGTCCTAATCGGCCGGCAGTCATGGTTTTCCGTTGTGATGCCGGTGGGATTTTCTGTGTCCTATTGACTTACCTGATTGTCGCCTATGCTGATTATGTCGTGATGTTTCATTTGATTTTGCCGGTACTGAAGACCAGGTGAGTGAAAATTGTCATGATATCCCAAACGTGCTACGACAATTTTTGTGTTCTTTTATTTCATTTCGTTGCTTGGCCCAAGCAAACTCGGGCAGGTCCAAATCCTTATCAGTTAGCCTATTTCGCTGTTCTACTCACAGTTCGATTCGGTAGGAGGAAAAGCCGGTTTATCAAATACCAGCGATGTACTTCCTTGACACTTCAGGGTTTCGATATCCACCAACTGACACTCCCGGGAACATTCTCCATATCTTGAAGCTGGTGGAATTCAGCTACCGACCGTTGTTTGGTATCTTCATTTACAGTTTGGTTCATTTTATACCCCCTTGAAAGCAAAATGTGAGATGTCTGCTTAAATTTGAGCGGTGTTCTATGGCACTTGTAGGTATGAACTCAACAAGCTGTAATTACTTCAGATAGGTCTATTGGCATCCTGTCCTGTTATGCAGTGGAAAACGCCTGGTTTCCATGAGTGCTTTGCTGAATCATGATTAGTCCTTATGTTTTTCGGGCTTTTGCTGTTTTCTATCACTCGTCATCATGAGTTTGTAGGAAAGTTCACCGAGCACAGGCAAAAGAAGTTTAACGAGGTCAAAGTACGATTCCCAAAGTTTTTTTGTCAATCCACCTTTCAGTATTGTCGTAACGTGGACGAATTCCTGGGTACAGCCCAGGTACTCTAAGGTGGCATCTTGCTGGGCTTTCGGTTACTCTCCGGCGATTCCGAGCAGTTGTTTGCGCTCGGCAGCAGTCACACTCGGGTTGCCGCCAGATGGTATATCTGGGGTCCTTCACCCTTGTAGTTAGGTACACTGGCGAGCGCGTACTGACGTTAACTAACTTAGTCGGATAAGGTTATTCTAGTCTATATGATGATGACTTCGTTCGATAAGCCTCCAGTATTTCCTCCTTGTTTAACATGATGATGATCATCATCATATTATCATCTTTATTGATAGCAAGACCATCAGCCACAAACAAACTACCATTCATTAGGAGCACAACATTACAACATACACTTGAGAAGTTGAAATGATGATGATGATGATGATGATGATGATGATGATCATGATGATGATGATGGTGGAAAGTGCATGGTGCAAAACACCCAAGCCTTTTGGTTCTGAGGAATCGATATATAGTTTTTCTAGCTTTCTTTTCCTCACACGAGGCTAGTGTTGACTTTTCGACTCTAGTTCATCAGGTTTTCTCGAAGTTCTTGTTGAAAAAAACCCATGGAATTCTCCTGTAGAGTTTGCAGCTCGTCATTCAAGACAACGATTTCGTGAATGAATTGCTGTTCCATCTTCTGCGCGAATCGTTGCGCTAACATCCATCAGGCCAACTGATTGAACTAGCTGAAGTAGGGCGCGGACGTTTCCTGCGGTGAAAGCCCTCTCTATTTCTTGAACTTCACCATCTGCCAGCTCTGTCTATCTATCCTTCCTCGGGCTCTCGATTGTCTGGTGTCTGGGGGAAGTGGTGGCGCTACCATGGTCACTAGTTGCTTGGATGGTTTTCCCGGCATCAATAGGAGCTATCGATCTTGGTGATATTCAGTGCTAGTTTGGTCGAATCAGGTTGCTCGGGTAGACAGCCCGAAAAGGTCAGGGTACATCTTTTCACTTTTCCATGCATCCTGTAGATGATCACAATGGTCTTGACTGTGGATTTCAAGTAGCTTTCCATCTAGGTGAGCTCGTTATTTTCAAGCTACAGACTTCTTTTGAACGTGATGGACTGGGTAACTTCGCATCGACATGTGTAATTCTGATAGAAATAGAATTGAGGAACGAGCCCACACGATGATATGATTGGAATAGAGTTGCCAGAAGAAACGGCATTGATTGAAGCTCTTCAGTAGTAAGTGATAGCCACGTGATCCAAATGAGTCTATGACCGGTTTCCGGCTTCCAGGCGGCATGCAAACGTCTATGCTAAAAATTCTTCCTATTTGGGAACACGTACTCGCTACTCAACTGAAGGTGGCGCTCCTCACCATCTGTATAGTGGGCACCAACTATGAATCTGCCACCGACCTGTGTTACTTCCGGGCGTAGTCGTCCAACCAAGATGTTTCAATCACCCACCAAATTTGCGATATCTGTCCCTCCTTCCAGCCAAAGTAGTCGAGATATATCTCAACAAGACCCGTTTTTCCAAGTTTCAGAAGTGTAAGCTATCTGGATGTATGCGGACACCAAAAACAAGCACCGTTTACCGATGTTAATAATATTTATACCGTCAGTTTTCATGCTAAGTGGAATTTTTCCGCCTATTTCTGTTAGGCAGTTGCTTGGCTTCCATTCCTACATATCCTGAGCTTCTCTATAAACTTCTGACGAAATAAATTAACGTGTTTATAGGACGGTTGAGCACCAGTGTTCTCACACAAGTGTTGCCCTCGGTGATGATGATACTGATGACTGCACTTTTTAAGCGACGTTGATGCCGACTGGACATAAGAACCGATGTAGGGTTACAATCGCCAAACCACAACTCCTACGACTTACTTTTTTCCTGATTCGGGTAATCTATTCAACATTCCATCTCCATTCTCCCTCACTTCCGATACAGTTTTGCGGCAATCATCAACGCTGCACTCTTCAACACAGTCGCTCTGATGTTGTGCTTTTCACACTTGTGTGCGGTACTTGTGGATCCTGGGATCATACCAAGAAATCAATACCAAATAATTCGCGATGGCGGAACTACATCTGTCGAGGTAAATCAGGCAGTTGGTTTTTCTTCGGCTTTGTCTTCGGGCTGGAATGTGTGTGCCCTAATCGATCTTCTGGTAGCAGGATCCGTTTTGTCAGTTCATCTTTTCTGTGTTGTACGAAATGGTGTGGGTTTGTGACAGTATTGACCGCTACTCCATTTGTTTGTTTGTGTGTAATGACCGTGCAGGTTGACCACCAACAGCACTGGGCTATCGCATTTTGTAGCCTCGGTGGTGTTATGAACAACATGAATGAATGCGACCCACTCCGATGTTACAGACCAGCTGGCTCTGATTTTTCGCTCTTGTCAACGACGGGCCAGTCTGGCAGTTTTTCAACTTTCATACTTTATTTGGGCCTCATAGAGTCTCTGAACCGAAACGGCGCCACGATTCGGTTTAATTTTTTGGGCGTCATTAGGGCTACTGACATTAAGGATTTCATAGCTAGTTATATTGGGATTTTCTTGATCGTGCAAACTTCTTGTCTCCGTACATCGCCTTTGACTTGCGGGTTTAATTGATCCTTCAAATGACTTGATGTTGCACAACCAGTTGGTTCGTTTCAGTCTGATTAGTCTTCACAATTAATTTCTGCCACATTTTCTTTACGGCGGTTGACACTGCAGTGCGTTGGTGCAGTTGGACGCTGGCTCAGAAACAGCCTGTGTATCAGCTGTTGGCTGTAATGTCTCAGAACAGTTGGAATCTTTTTTCCCTCACGGTTATTTGAATTATTTTTGCCCGCTGTTTTTCCACAATTTTTCTTACAAATGGAAAAATCGATGTTCTTCACTCGTGGAAGCTAATCTTCATTGGTCAATCTTTTGATCAAATTACTGTGTTCAGTAACGCGCTCGCTCTTTATTAAATTGACCTGTTTGCACGTTCACGAAACCACAAATCAAAGCGTGGCATTTCAGTAGTTATTAGTAGTCACAAGCTGCGTTTTCGCGTTATGTTGCCACTCCTCCGCAAGTTCGACATCTACAACCCTATTCCTGTTTTGCCACTTGAAAAATGTCTTATATCGATATTCTCCTAAGTTATAGGTTCTTTACTTTGTGGAAAACCCCTTTATGGGTCGTGGTATTGTTTTTCTTGTTGCTTATCGTTTTAAGGGTTTAGGAATGCTGGCATTCAGTGTTTCCCCTCCCCATCTCATGGCTGTTGTCCGTCGGTAAAGCACTAGTACTTACAATCGATATATTGCTTTCGATGGTGGTGATCATGTGACTTACATTTCATCCACTTTTCGTGCAGACATATTGTTTACCAGGCAGCTTATTACCAACCTCTTTTTCAGGTCCCAGCGGGCTGGACAATATGCAACAAGTGTGCGATGGCTCGGCCGCCTCGAGCTCATCACTGCCGTGTGTGTAATTCTTGTGTAAAACGGATGGATCATCACTGTCCCTGGTACGTTTTTATCCTCGCTACTAATTTATCTGTCTCAACTCTTGGTTTGAACACCATTTGAGAAGCACGGGAAATTGTGTCTGAACAATCAGCAGGAAACGTTTCCCCTTGGCTGGTTTTTCTGCCCTTTACGCATGCTTTGCGTTGATCTTGTTCCGTTTTTTGTGTATCAGAAACATCCAGACCAATAGGTGTCGTCTAGCTAATTAGTGTTACCGCCAAAGGAAAACGATCAGACATCAAAATTGATCGGTTGTCTGTTCGGATTACCGAATTTCATTCATTCTGATTGAAATCTGATCACACTTCTGTGCGGTACCACTTTTCTTTGTCCTTTTAACCAGTTAAACAGTGAAAAATCGGTTGGTTCGAAAATCTAGTGAAACTGTCATTAATCAATGAAATCCTTGGTTTCCATTCCGTATTGGGACACCCTCTCCCATACAATGGCGATAGTGTCCTGTATGCAGTTTGACGATATAGCTTTCAGTCAGGTGGAAACTTTTGGGCTAGAGTTTGGATTTCCTGATAATCCTAGGGACCGATTCCTGCCGGATTTAAGTTGACAATCTTAATTAAAACGTAAGGGATTGGTGGGCCAAGATTATTAGGAATATCCACAGACTTCCCCAGATGTTTGGCTCAAAGCCCCCTGACTTGAAGCCCTTCATGTTAAAGTACCTAGGTTCTTAGGAACACGTTGGTCTCTGATGTCGTACCAAACTTTCCAAGCGGCAGTCAGGCTTTGAACCAGCAACGAGAGCTGAGCTGAGCTGAGCAATAAATCTCAAGCTCCGTTTCGGTTTTAAGAGGTGACTCCTGTCATTCGAAGCTGGAGGTGGCTCCCCTATTCGGATTAGAGAATCTGTTCTAGTTAGCTGAAAATGTGATATCCACAAGTATAGCTGCTAGCCCCCCGCTGCAAGCTTCATCCACTTGTTGTCTTACGACGTTCTTGACCTCAGGACCTCCATTCCATGTCTTCAAACCCGCTTTCCCAGCACAACGTGCACACATGCGACTCTTTGAGCTGTCTAGTCTTCCACAAAATCTGTATACCATTGTTATCGTTCAACCGCCATCAGTGTCCTGATGATCAGTGTGATGTCGGCTATACAAAGCTCCCATGTTCAAGTTATTTCTAGCGATCATCCGTCTGGTCTGGCAAATGTAGGTGAACACGAGTGGACAAAAAGCACCAGTGTCTAATAGTCATTCCCCTCTCGGGTTTGTGTGTTGTGGCTTGCTGAACGGTCGTGCAACTCTCTATTGGTCCTTGGTTTCCTGCTCCACCCACTATGGTATATCAAAAGGCACGATGGCTTTAGACAGCCCTTTATGGAGACAAGCGGAAATTATTGCAACTGTATATATAGGGCAGTGATAGAATGTTCCAGAATGTTCCTCCGTACTAAAATTTCCGTGAGGGGGCGAGAAGCGCCCAGTTAAAGATGCTCGATCCGGATTGGCTGGCATTCTGACCAATTAGAGCGTGCCTTCGCTTCGTCCGCGTCCTGCACGTGACACATCTGTCTAAATGGTTTGATGTTCGGTAATTAGGGACGGCTGGCCTCCGGACAATATGGTCTGTGGTTACAAGGCTCAAGTTATGCTACACACATGGCCTCCTCTAGACGTACGGGAGATTTCCTACTTTCGAGGTTGACAAATGAATCCTTCTCGCGAGCTCCACTCGCAACTTCGCTCCACTTATAATAGCAAAAGCACAGCACCAGATCCTATTCGTCGCGACTACCTCTGTGTGCGTGGTTTGTAGCAGTATATAGTCTGGAGTCTGTGTTTGCCGACATCAACGAGTACGCAGCGAGCTGCCTATAAGACCGGCTTTCATTGTTAAACGTTTTTTTCATTGAGAATGATATCCATTCCCCCTGAGACTGCCACCGTTCGGTGGAGCCGAACAATAGTCTGCCGAGAAAAGTACTTTTCGCTGTGCCTAGCTTAGAACGGAGGAATAAGTAGTGGGGACAGTGAGCGTACTTGAGGAGACTCAGCGGCTTTTGATTGACTCAGTTTCTGTTTTTTTTTTTAATTGGAAGGGTGGATTCGTAGCCAAGAATCATTTGTAAGCGTACTCGACTTTAAAATCATAAAACTATCCTAATACGGAGAAAGTGAATAATATGTGAACAATAATAATAAGAATGGTGAGTAATGTGTGTCTACAACGTCATAGAAGTCTGAACAGGCGAGGAATAACCCGAGGCTTGGGATTTTGAAGGTATTGAACAAAAAGTTGAACGAATAGAACGTGAAAGAGAATTCAAAGGATGGGAAAAGTGAAAACGATCATTCTTATTTGTCAGCCGGGAGCTCCTATCCTGGTACGGATGACTGGAGAAGTAGAGGAAGGTGGATCAGCTGAACTGTACTGGGAGCGTTACGGAGGAAGTGAGTTTGTCGAGAAAGGGTAGCTACATCTTGTCGGTTAATGACAGACAAAATGGATTCTCCAAGGGAACTTTATTTGGATGGGGTCTCATCGTGAGTAAGGCAATAGGGTTTCATAGTGGAGAAGATCTGGAACTCGTACAAAAGGAGGGGAAGAGAACTTTGTTGGGAGCACAAAAAAAGAAAACCGATTTTCCCAAGGTTCGGGTTATAATCGATTTTGCAGGCGCGATTCAATCGATGGTGTGCTGGCCAAGAAGCCAGTAGTCGGAGGATTTAGGTTAGATGCAGTGAGTGGGGAGTGCGAGATTGATGGAGGTAAAATAGAGCGAGAGAGCTAAACGTATCAGTTTGGTAGGACCAATTGTAGCCCGAGGTGAAGGGCATTATCAAGGCCGTTTGTCAGGATGTTTCCAGTCTGATTCGTCAAGTCAGGATGTAGTCCATAGGTTAGGATTTCGGGCATTAGGTGCCTTACTCTATTGAAACCTCCAAAACATCGCGCAATATCAATTCTGTTTTACCGGATGATCGCTCAGCAGAATAGTCCTCCAGGTAGCTGATGAACAGATCCTTGGTCACATCTACAAGTCCGAAGGAAGGTTGAAAACTTTGATGACATTGCACATTTGGTTCCGTCGTCTGACAGCATAGACGATTAAACCATTCCAAGGATGTTGGTTGGTTGTGCTTAGAAAAATGGGGTACAAATGGGAAGGTTTCATTTCTAAAGGTTCTCAGCAGAACCTGTAGGATCGTTGGATATGCAGCCATCCCAGAGGTGGGGAACCCAAATGACTACCGCGTGTTGTCCCAATTGGCAGACAAGTAGCTCAAAAGCGAGACGTCAGGGTGTTTGAGAGAACATGGCGACTTGCAGTACGGGGCTAGCAGTTGTTTTTATCTGCTTCATGCCATCTGTTTTTAACAGAATCATCTGATAATTTGAAAGTACATTCACATACACCGATAAATCTGCGCTAGACTGCTCCCCATCCCCGTTTTCTGTTTACCACGAGGCTTTCTGCCGCTAGAACGTGCTGATTTCTCGGCACCGTTGTTGCTGTTGGTGAGAGTGACAACTGTTTAATCCGGCTACCAGATAGAATTGATCAGATTTGTTGTGTGAGCGTTCTTTTCTCGCTCCAAGGACGTCGAATAAAATTGAGGAACAAAGCCAGAAGTTCATTCTAGCGTTAATGAAGCACTTTCAATTGGTTGCCAACAGCCTGAGCTGTTCAGTCATGCTTCACACACCTCGGTGATTCCGGAACAAACACGTTCTGTTCGTTGAGTAGTCGCTGAGCTGAAAACTCATTTCCGGCTCTGGGTATAGGCCCTACAAATTTGTGCATGAAAAAAAAATTAATTTGTAATCTCGAAGATGGAGGTTTCATTGTTTATCCATTGTGATCGGTCAAATAATAAAGCGTGTGGAGTGACATGCACTTCGTTTTCGCTGTTCTATGTCAACGACAGTTTTTTGCCGCAAGAAATTGAATAAAAAATCGTTTGTGTACGTGTGCACACATTTGTCACACGGGTACAGCGGTCCCAACCATACCAAAGCAACAGAATCTCACTACAAAGACTTGTTCCAGGTTCAGCATAATGTATATTACTTCCTGTACCAAATGGTCGTCCTCTGTCAACGACGGTCAAGCAAAAAATTATAGAGTCCAGTCGGTTCGCGGTCGAACGGGACCAACTTGGTCAACTCAGCTTGCCCGCTTGACTGGTGAGTATGTCCATAAAGAAGCCCTGAAAAAAGCGAACACCAAACGTGGCGTCATTTGCATCTCTTTCGTCACAAGGCTTCTTGTTCCTCTCCCTCCGTCCAAAGTTTGGAGTCTCACACATTTATCGATGAGAACAGACCAATAAATTATTCAAAAGAAAGAAATCCACCCCTGATTGTTTCGCCAGCAAAATCACTTTGCAGCATGGTCTACTGGTTAGATTCGCCGCTATTGAGGTTTTTCTTCAATCAGATCGAGTGATTGGAGCAAATAAATGCACGGGTCTGCTGGTACGTTGAATGGCTACGCTGTCAACCACATGCCATCCCACGTGATTGCCCTTGTTCTAAACTCAATAATGCACGGGTCTGCTGGTACGTTGAATGGCTACGCTGTCAACCACATGTCATCCCACGTGATTGCACATGCTCAATAAACTCAATACTTTTGTCATCATGGTGAAGATTTATGGGCGGTGGACTCGAATCTGGAAGTCTAGCGCAGTTTTTCCCAACCTTCGAAGCCTTTGGCGCCGGCTTTACTTCAATTCGATAGACCTTGACTGATCGGTCGCAGACAACAGTCAGGGTCCCATCTCATGGCGATTGCTTTCTCTGCGCCGCTGTCCAATTTCTCATCTCATCAGTCATCTAGGCAGTTAACTGATCAGACAGTCAGTTTTACTACCTGGTTACTGATTCCCTGTTCATCAGTGAATGAAACTCTGGCAGCTAGAGCTGTTGTGACCAGGATATATCTCTTAAAGCTGATCCTCTGACCATACAAACGTGGTACCAACGTTCATGTGCGTACCAGTGTTGAGTGGACAATGTACATTCTTTGGCGTTTAGTTCTATATCTGGTAGGTGACCTGAATGTTCTTTGCGTAAATCGATCGACCTGGTGGTTCATCACAGCACCAGTACCAATCAGTTCGCAAGTGTAGACCAGAGGGTCTCAACCGTGTTTCTCAGGTTCATTGAGAGTCAACCTCAAAAGTCGCGGACTTTCAAACTGACTGTAATAGGGCCAGTATGCCCTTTTTTCAGGATTGCAAGCCAAGGTGATTGGGTCATGTGTTACGCATGCCGAGTTACCGCGTGCCGAAATGGGCGCCTATTTCCGTGCCTAGTGTGAGGTTACGGAAACCTATAAAGAAACCAAATATGACATGAAACAAAGGACTGCTATTGGTGCTGGTCGCCTTTTAGGATGGTGTGATTGTGACTCGTTACAGTAGATGATATAGCGGCCAACTGAGGTCGTTAGCATACTCACTGTCCATTCCCTATCCAGAATGACTGACTGGGTGTTGGAGGTTTAGACCCCACGGATGTTTTTGGCAGACCAAATCTGGGTCCCTTTCGCTGTCGCATCATCTCTTTTTTCCACTATAAGACTTTTCACGTAAATCGGCAGTGAAGCACCAGTGTTCTCATCGGGTGTTGTTAGTTATGATGATGAGTATGCCTTTTAGGGCCACCAACTCATTGGCCTTCGTTATGAGCGTATGAGCTGTTATTCTTCCATCGACGCTGACAACACATTTTCCCCAGTAAACTCTCAATGTACATAGTAAGCTGAGCCCGAACATCATTGTTCGTCGCATCGTCTTTTCCTTGACTTGATCTCTCGCTGCAGCGACGAATTTTCTACTCTGTTGCCCGTCACATGTGGTTTATTTCTGAGTATTGTTCACAATTTTTTACGGTAAGCATCCAAAGACCACGTCCCGGCTTGAGCCCAAGCAGTGCAATTTCAAACGACTTTTTTTGCCACCAAAGTTTGCTGCATTTTGGTCACTCGTGTATCGTTGAAATTCTTCCCTACTCATTCCCCACTACCCGTCACTCCGTTGTAATGCCCGTCTACCATTCCGACTTTTTTTCAGGATAAACAACTGTGTAGGAGAGTACAATCAGAAATATTTTATCATGTTCCTCGTATATGTGGGTAAGTGCCTGGTCGCTTTGATCTGGCCCTATCGCGTTTCTTTTAACTTGTGTATTTCAACAAAATTGTCACGTACATAGCTCAGTCTCTAAGCCAAAGACGGGTGAATACGTTCCTATTGATGTCCGACCTTAGGAGGGTGGCTTTTATGTTTATCGTTAAATGGAGTGAACCCGGTCCATTTTAATTCTCTTCATGGTCTGATGCACCCGGACTAACCACCAGGGGTGTCCAACAAAAACAGGTCATAAACCCACGCACAGTGAGTCGTATTTATATTGTATACAATGTAAGCTTTCTGGACGCGCCATCGGCAACTAGCATTCGCCTGGTACTGGAATATAATTGGTTGTTTGGTCCACAATTTCGCCTTGATAGTGAGCAAGAAAACTGCCTTATCTTCTGCTCAATGAAATCCCAGTTAGTCGTGTTGGCCGGTAGGGCACCCAAGTGTGGCTTTTTGGCCGAGGATTCCGCCTAGAGGACAACAAATCTGATCTTAACTGCGATTGTTTTGATCCAGTGGCATTTGACCGAGAAGTTTAGAGCGATAACGCGTATGTATGACCAGTCAATCGCTGGTACCCGACGGCTGCAGAACCATTTGCGGTACAGCTGAACCAGGCCGTGGATACGAACAACACTGATAGATGTCCGATGACTGCATCTTGCGGGTGAGCGGCTCTTTCAAGGCTATACTATGAATTTTGCTGTAGACCACACCGTGTATTGAGTCAAAGGACATCAACTTTCTGCAAATCCCAAGACCCCGTCTTCCTAAAGTGGAGTCAACCATTGTCTAATCGAACCTACAGAAAATCGCTTCCTACGTATTACACTGGGGGATCCATCGTTTGTCGAAGAGAGTACTG